ATATATACTCTACTTTCAATTAGCAAATATGCTTTAGTGACCTACGAGCAAGGCACGACCAGCTTGCTACATGGATCAGCTGTACGTTTTCATGCTTATCATAACTCACCATTTTAACGAGACGACTCGACCGACTACTATCTAGACCTACAGCATTACAATACTAACGCTATGCTGGTGGTAGGATAATAATCGCGTGTACTACCACTATAAAAGACGGCACAGGCCCTAGAGGAAAACGAAGGGGTAGGAATCTTCGACGGAAAATATTTACGATCACAACCGTTAGGTCAGATTAGTAAGTAACTTTAAATTGCATGAATCTCCCCAACGCGTTTGTGTTGTTATCAACGTAGAAATATCAAAGGGCAAACATGGCAACAATCTCGAAAAGGCCCGCCCCCATCATTCTTCCCTATTTTCGCTACTGTAAATGATGCCCGGTCCATTCTGAATAAACGTGAAGAAGTGCAATACTATTTAAGCTCATTGAAGTGGTCCTGGATATCATCATAATAACCGAATCATAGATAACTCCACAGCAACCGAAATGTATAATATATACGGTAGTCCACTAAATGGTGTAATGGTGTAAGCTCCTACCTTGTAGTGATATCCCATGAGTCAAGTGCGTGAGGTAGACACGCGCGAGGTTATTGCGGAATACACCGTGTTGCCTGGTGGCATGATATATTGTTTACTGAATAAATAGTTATTGTTTTTAACATAAAGACGGTTCTCTGTGTACTAGTGTTGAACGTGTGTGGAATCCTTAGAGAGTAGCAACTACCTACATGGTGTCAGAAGTGGGATTACACAGTATATTCAAGAGAAAAACCAGTCGCAATTTTTTGTAGCATGGCAAGTAAGTCTGCCGGAGCAGTTCGATAATCACCCCAAGAAATGGTACCAGCGATTCCAACGCTTTCGCTCAGCGTCGGGACTCCTAGGAAACGCAAATAATATATAAGCCATGGGAATCGCTGCGGAGGACATATTGTCGTCTATGAAACTGACCAACGCTCAAAGAAATAATTACGAAATTATTGAAGATAAGTTTAATGAGTATTTTGTGGTAAGAAGAAATACAATTTACGAAAGAGCGAAATTTAATTAGCGAAAACAGGCACAGGGTGAGCCAGTTGATAAGTTAAAGATAGTTATAGAACAAGCAGAAACGTATTAGTATTATATAAATAATTGCGAAACAAAAATCGCTAGTATTGCTATCATACCTGTCTCATTGCGAGGTAAATTATGTAGCCAGCAGGTTGAAAGCAGTTTAGGTATTCATTTTTAAAACCTTGCAAGTATTATATTGCGCATATACAGATGTGACAGTGTTTTGCACTTGGATAGGTTTGGATATTCTGTACTGTTCTGTTTAAGTTTATTATATATATATATACATCTCATTTATAGCATAGCATATATATATATATATATATGCCTATATATAATATATATATATATATATATGCTATGCTATAAATGAGATGTTCCAGATCATCTATGACGTAGAGTGCTCGATATCTCAGATAGAGCTTAATAGAAATAGAAATTTCTATTTATGCTATGCTATGTATAATCGTGTGTGTGGTCATCACGCAAAATGCATGCATGAGAAACGAAAGTAAGATACATAAGTTTAACTTGAAATAATATAAGCAATGTGCAGGGAAGTACTGTTACTTTTTTTACTCATACATTCACACACACACACACACACACACACACACACACACATATATATCAA